GCAGCGAACGGATTGGTTAATGGAGAGAAGAAAAAAGAAGAAGAGGAAGCCATTCCAATTGAAGATGATGCTAAAGGAAAATCCGTGCTTCAAGCCAAACTCTCCAACTTAGCTATTCAAATCGGGTACATAGGTAAGCTAAAATTTTTCATTTCCAGAAACTTCAAAAACTTCCTTACCCAGGTTCTATTGTTGCTGCCGCTACCGTACTTATTTTGATAATTCGTCACTGTATCACACATTATGCCATCAATGGCGAGACATTCAAGGTGAGCTCAACTCCCTTTTTACTCGATAGAAGCAAATTTTACAAGATCTAATGTTTTTCAGACTTCCGATCTTGCTTACTTCGTCAACTTCATCATTATTGGTGTCACGGTGCTTGTCATTGCTGTTCCAGAAGGTTTACCTTTGGCTATCACTCTTGCGCTTACCTATTCAGTGAAAAAGGTGAGCTTAAGTTTCTTGAATGGACTCTTTCGCCAGCAGTTTTCATTCAGAAATTGAAATTGTTTTCTGCTGTTTTCTAATAGTTACTCTTGTTGCATTAGACCTACAATATTTACTGTTATTATTTTTATAATTTTTTATTGGGATTCTCGGCTTTATTTTTCAAATTGTTGTTGGTCCAAATTTTGAGATCATTTTTCCTTCAGACTACAGCTTTTTAGAATCGTTTAGAAAGAAAGAGCCTTTCAGCGAAATTGTGCCCCAATCAAAACAGAGCACATAAGAAATTCTAGGACATTGCTGAGAGTATATAGTCGAAGACTAAAAATTTGAACCAATTTTTGAGTCCGTGCAGAACTCAAAAATCACAACGTAATAAACTTTCATACTTTACTATTCCAGCTTTCTTTTTGGCAAGAAAATTCCTCCTGATTATATCAGATTTGCTTTAAAAATAAGAGGGTTTTTTGTTTTTGGCATGGTAATCCGGGCACGTGTCGGAGTATAGTATAAGCCATGAATTTTAGCGCAACGTGGTCAAGTATAAATAGAAAAACAATAATCGGATGAAATGTATACAGCAAGTGTGTGCAATCTATTGCAAAAAAGTGGTTGCATCCAAAAAAAAGTCGGGTTGGCTCAAAAATAGAAATTTATTGTAGGCCAGACAGAAATTTTCGTATAAGAATGACTTTTTGATTTTTGCGGCGATCTCTTTGGTTTGAACGATAAGCCGAATTGGCTATTTATGGCTAACTATACTGCCAATGGATGAGTAGTACAGTTATCGCATAGTGAAGTAAACAAAAATGAGGGAAAAAGAAATCGAGTTACTGGTAAACAGTAAAAAGACTATATTCTCTTCCAGATGATGAAAGACAACAACCTTGTTCGGCACTTGGACGCTTGTGAAACGATGGGTAACGCGACAGCCATTTGCTCGGATAAGACTGGAACCCTAACAACAAACCGAATGACCTGTGTGCAACAGTACATCAATGGTCAGTTCCGCTCATAGTTTTGTGCTGAACTTCAATGAAAAAACACTATCTTCAGGTACTTTTTACAAGTCTCAACCACCTACTTATGCTGCCCTCGATAAAAGAACTCGTGAGCTGCTGATAGATGGGATTGCGATTAATTCGGGTTACAATTCGCAAGTGCTACCAGCACCAAAACCGGGAGAGCAACGGATGCAGGTACGGTCAGACTTAGTTCACCCTTCCCCCACCACTTTCCCACCCACTTTTTTCACGAGGTTGTAGAAATTGGTGCAACAAAAATTTTTTCAGGTTGGTAACAAAACCGAGTGTGCCCTACTTGGTTTTGTTCTTGATGTTGGTAAAAGCTATGAAGAGATCCGTACTAGGCATCCAGAAGAGACTTTGTACAAGGTAGACATTTTTGAAGGAGTATTGAGCCCTTGAAAATCTGAAAACTATCTGTTAGGTCTACACCTTCAACTCTTCTCGTAAATCTATGATGACGGTCATTGAGTTGGATAGCGGGATCTACCGAATTTACGCTAAGGGCGCCTCGGAAATTATTTTGACCAGGTAATTCAAGACATATTTGACTATAAAATTTTATTTCTTTATTATTTTCTAGCTTCCTTTTAGCTTGCTGGAGATACATATTAGCCATTGAGATATCAAATAATCAAATTTGCTTACCATAATCACATTTACAGGTGTTCCTACATACTTGGTGAAGACGGTGTAATCAAGCCATTTACTGCCGTTGAAGCAGCCGAATTGACGAGAGAAGTCATTGAGCCAATGGCTTCTGATGGTCTCAGAACGATCGGCTTAGCTTATAAAGACATGGTCCCTATGGGAACAAGATCGGACGACAATCAGGTCAGAGCTTTGTTATCAACATACTTGTATTTTCGCAATTTTTATAGAAGGATGATAAAATGTTATTTATACATATCTATTATAGTAATTATATTATATCAATCATTTCTAGGTTGAAAATTATTTTTAGGTTTCTAGGTTAATCTAAGTTGTACATGAATTATTTTTATACAAATTTATCAATTATACTATGTAGATTACTCCTAAGTTTCTAGGTTTCTAGGCTTTGGAATGTAAAAGCATTAGGTATTTTCTTGCACTCCTAATTTGTTATATCCATTGATTATTTCTAGGTCGAGTATGTTGGAGAAATCAACTGGGATGATGAAGAGTCGATTCGTAATGGTATGACAGCAATTGCTATTATGGGCATTCAGGATCCAGTACGACCAGAGGTGAATATAAATTCTCATTCGCTTGTAGAGGGTTACGAAATTCGTTTCTTTATTCATTATTTCTTTCTCTATTTTTTGCGTAAACTTGGTCTTTTGAGGCATTTCAAACATCATACTTATAAAGAAAGAAAAAAGTTGTTTATATTTTATGCAAATTTTTTAGGCAGATTGGCTGTAACACCCTTGTTTTTGTGACTGTCTCTGAAAAAATTGGAAAAGAATCAATTGCTTTATTTTTCGCGCTAGTCATCGTTAAAATACATTTTTTTCCAAAATCAAGACACATCTCTCAGGTTTTTACTGCTTTTTTGAATGAACTCCACAAAAGATTGTTTGTGAGCTTCTTTACAGACCGATAGAAATAACTCATTTTTCAATTACCCTAAAATTATTGTTAAGGTACCCGCAGCCATTGACAAATGTCAAAAAGCTGGAATCACTGTACGTATGGTTACTGGTGATAACATCAACACTGCCCGATCCATTGCCACTGCTTGTGGAATTCTTAAGCCTGGAGCAGATTTCCTTGCTCTGGAAGGAAAGGACTTCAATGCTAGGTATAGCTAAAATTCTCAGGCCTAACTGGAGCTCTTAAATCGCTTTTGCTTTAGAATTCGAGACGACAATGGCAAAGTGAATCAAGCAAAACTAGACGCTATTTGGCCCCGATTACGAGTTCTCGCTAGAGCTCAACCATCGGACAAATATGTTCTGGTCAAGGGCATTATTGATAGTAAAAATACCAAGAACAGGGAAGTCGTTGCTGTGACCGGTGACGGCACGAACGATGCTCCTGCTCTCAAGAAAGCTGACGTAGGATTCGCTATGGTGGGTAAAAAATGCCTTTTCTCGAAATAAAGCA